TCAGGAGAATCGGACATAATTTGCTCAAATTCAGTTTTTGTGAAGTCTCTCGACTTTTGTTGGGGACTAGTATATATTGTTTAACTTTTAGACATCGACTCGTACGTTTTACTGAATTAATTCGACTGAGTTTAAGCATTGGTGGTCCAAGGAACGGAATGAAAAATTAGGTATAAAACTCATTTTCAGTAGTTATTCCACGATTCTTGTTAAAAAGGTTCGCAAATAGATCATAGTGGCTGGTGAACGACGACGACGCAACAAACGAGAGTGAAAAGGTCAAGTCGTTTGTTCGAATGAAGATCAGGGAGTCTGTCGAACCAAAGTATATCGGATATTTCGCAAGTGGTTTTATGAATACCTGCATACACATGCACATTTGCATTGTTCCAGCACGGAATTTCCATAAACTGTTGTTAAAATGCTTTTACGCGATGCCTTATTTTAGATCTTATTACCTAGAGCTGGTAATGTGAGGACAAGCCTTTAAATATATCGAAACATAAAGAACATCTTCCAAGAATTATTACAAAGCTTTGGTTTCTTGATTTTATAGGCTATTTTGGTTTGTAGATTAATTTTTCTTTGTTTCTTCAAGGGATCTATAGAGCCCAAGTAGCAAAGGGAGCAATACTGTTTTATTCAAGCTTTACACTGTTTAAAATATCTGTGTTGTAAAGAGTAATCTTAAAATGGTGTCAAAATCCAACAATAAGTGGTGTTAATATAAACACCATGAATTATGGTTAAAAATGTTATATACAGCAAACACCAAAACGTTGTTTATCTAAAAATATTTGAGAAGTGCACCTACACAGAAAAAAAAGGAATAGTTCATTAGATTAGTTTGACGTTACTAATCCAGATAGTTATTTTATTTTTTTTAAATTGGTTCAATTAACCCAGAAAACTTTAGTGAAACCAACCCGCTGTATGGTTCAGTTTACTAAATATGTTGTTTGTAAAATAAGAGTTACTTCAACCTAAAGCACTCTGTTAAAACGATTAAAACAATTTGCCGTGCATTCCTGGTTGCATAGTGTGTACCGATCGCGGCAAAGGCGGTGTGGATCACGCGATGTTCTTAAATCTCGCCTCTGTTGACTTACATGAAGAGTAGGTATATAAGCTCAGGTAGTCCTTTGCTTTGGTGTGACACTACAAGTTGTTCGATACTAAAGAGACCTTAAATAGGTGGAAACAGCTGTCAATACTTGAAGTATTTGAACGCACTAAAAACCACAATCCACTATTGTGCTAAAAACATTATCTCTAGCGAGTTGAAGGTTCAATTTTCTGGAATAATACCATGGTACCAGTGCACTGGTAATATACTTGTAATGCGTCAAGGAACTTCCTGTTTCCTTTTTTTCCTTTTTTGTAGTATGATTTAATTTGACCAAAAACACATTATATTTAACACTGAAAAGGAGTTCAATTTACACCAGGTAAAATTTATTTTAATACTGTGTGATAGGTGGAAACAGCTGTCAATACTTGAAGTATTTGAACGCACTAAAAACCACAATCCACTATTGTGCTAAAAACATTATCTCTAGCGAGTTGAAGGTTCAATTTTCTGGAATAATACCGTGGTACCAGTGCACTGGTAATATACTTGTAATGCGTCAAGGAACTTCCTGTTTCCTTTTTTTCCTTTTTTGTAGTATGATTTAATTTGACCAAAAACACATTATATTTAACACTGAAAAGGAGTTCAATTTACACCAGGTAAAATTTATTTTAATACTGTGTGAAAGTTAAATTTGCACCATTTTAGTATTCGAATTTACACTGGACCAACGAACCTTATTTAACACCATTTTGGTTTGTATGGATATAGACCATGTCTGGTGTTAATTTGGTGTTAAAATGGTCATGAATTTGAAACAGTGTAGTCTAACAGTCAAACAACCAAAAATAAAAAATTTGGGAATATATTCACCCATATAACTCCAACAATAATTAACTATTTAAATGTGAAAAAGACTATTTTATTACTACTAATTCAAATAGTAAATTTTTTTGTAGTAAATAACTTTATTACAGACTTCTGAATGACCAATAGATTAAAACCTAAAGATTCTTTTTTATGTGAAGATTTATGAAGAAGACATTAAATAAAGCAATTTTTATTTTACCGAGAATCTAGAATAATGACATAAACATAAAATAATGTAATAGCACTCCATAGTAGTGTAGCTGTTGCCCAATGAAGTGAACTCGAAACATCGATGATAAAAATTCTCGGTATTTCACTAAAAAAGGCACACAAAGGCGACAAATTTTCTATAAAATAATTTTAATTTTACCCAACACCTAAACAGAAAACAAAAATAAAACCAAAAGTAGCCAAGAGATGAGAAAACGTGCGAAACCATAAACATAAGGCCATAAAAATTCCCCAGCCATGTCAAAAACGATGTGATTGCAATTAAATATTTTATAACATATGTAAATAAATGCAATTAAAACCTCATCCATATAGAATAATTAAGTCTTTATTTGTCAATGTGTGTTCCAACCTAAAATGGACGTAAAGTTAATGTCAACTGGATTGTTAAAAGAGAAGAAGACTTTCGTCGCCAGCTTATACAACCGTCGCAAAAAATAAGGCACCCAACTGCCAAAACGCAAAATATAACTGTCAAAACACTTTCAAATCCCTTGGTAATGCAATGATCAAGTCATCGTGTGGTAAAGAATGTTTTGATTGGTTCTGCAACCTTTATTGCTGCCGAACATCTGACGGTCGATAAAAACAGATAAAAACAAAAAGTGGACGGATTAGGTGGCAAAAAACACCTGCCGATGCAATAAGGAAGCCATCAAATGCGAAACATGTGAGAGACGGTATAAAGAAGATGGCAAAAAAGTGGTCTGGCAGTGTAGATGTTGAAGAAAAGATGGCGGGCCGATACTAGGTAAGTAAGTCAATACTGATGTTTCCACATCATAAAATTCCGATAGATTTAATTAATGACCACGCGATTAAAAGATGCAACGAAGAATTTTTGCATTCAATTAGTTTCAATTACTCGAGATAAATAATTTGAATGAGCAGGGCATATGTTTGTGAATTTTTTGTAATCATAATTTGGAAGGTTATTAATTACAAGTTTTCAAATAAATTTGGATACAAAAAAGATCAATTGTAGCAAATTTAAAAGTTTACTTTTTAAAGATAAGAATTTCTATAAAAGCCAGAATCTACTTTAAAAAGATTCAGAAAAGATCATACCAAAATATCAAACAATTAGACTAAGCATAAATGGTAAAATTTAACACCAAATTAACACCATACATAGTCTATATCAATACAAACCAAAATGGTGTTAAATATGGTTCGTTGGTCCAGTGTAAATTCAAATACCAAAATAGTGTAAATTTAACTTTCACACAGTATTAAAATAAATTTTACCTGGTGTAAATTGAACTTCTTTTCAGTGTTAAATATTGGGTGTTTTTGGTCATATTAAATCATACTACGAAGAAAAAAAGGAAAAAAAGGAAACAGGAAGTTTCCTGACGCATTACAAGTATATTACCAGTGGTATTATTTCAGAAAATTGAATATTCAACTCGCTAGAGATAATGTTTTTAGTGCGTTCCACCAACTTAAAATACTGCAAGTATTGACAGCTGTTTCCACCTATTTAAGGTCTATTTAGTATCGAACAACTTGTAGTGTCACACCAAATCAAAGGACTACCTGAGCTTATATACTCTTCATGTAAGTCAACATAGGCGAGATTTAAGAACATCACGTGATCTACACCGCCTTTGCCGCGATCGGTACACACTATGCAACAAGGAATGCACGGCAAATTGTTTTAATCGTTTTAACAGAGTGCTTTAGGTTGAAGTAACTCTTATTTTACAAACAACATATTTAGTAAACTGAACCATACAGCGGGTTGGTTTCACTAAAGTTTTCTGGGTTAATTTAACCAATTTAAAAAAAATAAAATAACTATCTGGTTTAGTACCGTCAAACTAATCTTTGTTTATATTAACCTTCCCACAGTTAATTTAAATAAATATTTATGGGTCAACTAAATTAATATAGTTAAATTAACTATTCCTTTTTTTCTGTGTAGGTGCACTTCTCAAATATTTTTAGATAAACACCGTTTTGGTGTTTGCTGTATAAAACATTTTCAACTATAATTCATGGTGTTATATTAACACCACTTGGTGTTGGATTTTGAAACCATTTTAAGATTACTCTTCACACCACAGATATTTTAAACAGTGTATTGTATTACTCCTAAAACACACCTTACAGCAGCCATAAAACCTACCTTACAGCTGTCATAAAACCTGCTAAGTGCAATAGGTTTTAAGGAGGTATTGTGCTTTTGTCGTAAACATATTTTAGCTGACAATTTGTACTTATTGATATACCTTTTTACTTTATTGTTGTACTTTGTAAATTCCATATTGTTTTAATCAAATAATTGTTTGGTATATTGTTGCCTTGCACAAGCATAGGCCATTATTGATTTTATTGATTATTATCTTTTGTCAACCAATAACTTTCGGTTGCAAAAATCATAAACAACTATTGCCGTCTAATTAACTAATTAACTAAAATAGCGTTCGTAAAACTTGATACATAATAAATAAAAAAAAATAAAAAGTTAAAATTTATTACCCAAAAAATAATATTAAAAAAACTAAAGAATTGTCAATCAACATTTTTTAAATTGTAAAACACTTCTGTTGTTATTTTTTTAAAGTTCAAATCGAATGAAAACATTATAAAAGATTGTCAGGCATTTGGTGAAACATCCCGCTCGGAATTGCATGAATTTTTCAAACGACTGGGGGAGTGGGGTGGGTAAATGGATGTCAACACATCTCGATAATAACTATATAAAGCTTAACCATCGTCCCATTGTTAGTTACACTTAATTGCATCTCATCAAAGTATTTTTTCCGAAGAGCAACTGGGTCAATTTTTTTTTAAGTTAAGTGTGTTTAGAAGCTAAGAGACTATGATACCTTTGAGGCTGGTAAGTTGGTTAATTTAGTAAAATTGTTTTTTTATGTTGGATATTTTTAAGTAAAAATACCCTTAATTAATTAATTTAAATTTTAAATTTAAAGAAAAAAATATAAAATTAAAATTTGCCAAATACCTTATACGAGATATAAGAAAATAAAAATAAAAAAAAATTGTTTGAATATTAAAAGTTTGAATATTTTTGTCAAAAAGGGTAAAAATACATATTTTCTATTATCAATTATTAAAAAAAATCTTAGATGAAGAAAAACTAATTTCATGTTCATATGTTGAGAAAAATATACTGGGAATAAGGAAAATAAAGGGGTGTCAACTTTAGGCAGGACACCCTGTACATATAAGTACCTATAAGATTTCTATAAATTTTCTTTACAAGCTTTTTAAATATTTTAAAGGTTTTATATGTTTTTTTATATTTTCGTGAATTATTTCTTAATATTCTTATTTAAAAAAGTTACTTATTTAATAAAACAATAATTTCAATAAATTCAATTTTAAAATTTCATGATTTTTCTAGTACTTATGAGACTTTTCTGGCAATAAATTTTGTTTAACACCAAAGAAAATCCTTTGTTTCACAGCCGCTTATTGTAAATAAGTAAATTAAGGACGGCATGGCGAATCGATTTTGACCTTAACTGTCAAACCAATGACTGTTATACCAACTATCTAAAGTAAAATTCTACCAAATTAAATATAAGGTATAAAATTATTTTTTTTATAGAATTTTTGCAAAATAGATAAAATATCATAAAGAACTTATGTCGTTTATAAAACGAGCGACGAAGAAGCGTCTTATGACATTAGTTCTTTAATATCTACTCCTATTCCATAATATTGCTTTTCCCGTTTTTTTTTCGTGAATAATAACATTATAAATTTCCTCCCCAACAACGGGAATAATGAACTTATTATTTACGTTGCTAGGGATCAGTGATTGGTCGATTTTAATACTTACTGTATTTGTACCAATCGGGTTTTAAATTGGGAGAAGGGGACTATAAAACCATTTAAAATTGGTTAAAAGTGAGGTTAACCATTTGACAGATGTCAGATTTTATTTAATATTTTTGAAATCATTTAATTATCTACTTATTGGAGTAGATAAAGTATAGTATTACACCCGAGATTATGTGTATTAATTACTCGGATGATTTACCTATGTCTCTCAATTTTAATAAGTTTTATAAGTAAAAAGTGAGGTTAGATTAAATCTGACAGTTGTCGAATTTTTTGGTTGGTCCAAACGAGTTTTTAACAGACTAGGGGTAAACAACTTTACCCGTGTTATTTTTATAATTAATTATATAAGAACTAATAAAGTTTGAAAATAAAAATGATTTATTAATTTTTCAGTTGCTGGCAGCGGCGACTTTGGCGGGAATATGCTCGACCGCCAAACTAGACAACACATACTTACCGCCGGGCGCAGGTAATGCCGGGGGCGGTCCTGACCTGAAAACGCCATTCGGTGGTGGAGCCGGCGGTGGAGGGGGCAGAGGAGGCGGCGGTGGAGGGGGCAGAGGGGGCGGCGGTGGAGGGGGCAGAGGCGGGGGTGGTGGTAGACCCGGTAAACACAACATCATACAATACATATACTATATACTATACTATAGTTTCTAAAATTTACCATTTTTCCAGAAGTTTAAAAAATATCCACCAAAAAATTTAAAAAAATCTAATATAGTTATATTAAACCTAATAAAAAACGGGTCATTTAGTTTGCCATATTTATTTAAAATTTTGTAAAATTTGTTCTAAATTTTATAAAAAAATTTGGTGTAAAATAACTAAAAATTATATCAAGGATTGATCTACAACTAGTAAAAAAACGTTACAAGATGTTTAACCCAAATCACAAAAATATATACAACAAATACAATTTACAAGCAATATACAGGCATGCAGAAAAATAATATTATAGGTACAACTAATCATACCGTATTTTCATTTTTGATGTAAACAGTTGACGCATTCGGCATTCGCTGCAGTGTCATGACAACAGATATTCAGTTGCCCACTCTCTAAAAATGAATTAGTCAAGAATGACTAACTGTCATATATGACGCTATAGCGAAAAGCAGCCACTAATAATTCTCGTCAATTTCAATTTGTATCCCGAACATTTAGCAGTCAATTTCCATGTAAAACTGTCCGTTGAGTCCGAAAATGTCGTCAAAAGTTATAAAAGTAGAAGTGAGATATAGTCAATTTTCCATATACTATCTTAAAAACTGCTATACTTTTATAATTTTTGACGGTATTTTCGGATTCAGGGGACAATTTTACATAAGAATTGGCTGTTAAAAGTTGGTATAAGTAAAAAAACAACCACTAATAACTGAGCACTGTAACTAGTACTAATTCATTTCTAGAGAGCAGTCACTGGCGTTGAGTGATATTCCCACTCTGCATAATTTTCAAGTGAAAATATGGTATAAACAAAAAATACGACAGTTTACCCATTGTAACAAATATTATTTAAAAAATGCATGGTGATAATGACTGAGCATGATAAACTTAATGCAATGATTTTTAAAGCATGTATAATATAATCCCAATCGGAAATATAAAATAAAGGTAGGTAAAACCACAATCCACACAACAAACCAAAAATTACGAAGTTAGGCAACCCATTACACAGACTTTAACGGCGGCCATTTTTATGTTGTTTACAATTCTTGTGCTGTTTATACAGATTAAAAATCGTTTGAAACCGTTTTGTCCTCTTTTGTAAATAATAAACCTTATTTTGAAGACTGTCATCAAATTTTATATTTACCAAACCCACAAATTAACCTTAAAATTGACATTTGACAGTTTAATGACAGCCCTGATAGAATAAGGTTTATTTTTTTCAAGGCTTACATGTGCCTCTGTAACAAACACAAAGTTTAAAACGATTATTAAACTATAAAGAGCACAAACTGAAAGCACAACATAAAAATAACCCCGTAAAGTCTGTACAGTTGGTTGCCTAACTTCGTGGTTTTTAGTATGAGCGAAACCAGATATAACCTTGTTGTGTGAATTGTGGGTAAAACTATAAAAATAAGTTATTGAAATCCAAAAATATAAAATAATCTTAATTTGGTGATATTCTTACACAATTATGTAAATTAATATAAATCGGATAACACTTTAGTGTCGCTTAATGAAGCACACAAAGTAAAGATGTCCTTTTTGAGAACGTTGTTTCTATGCAAAAGTAGTTTTAAATAGGTATTTAACCATATTTTGCATTTTGAGTTTAATAATATAAGCGCAGTACTACTATCAGATGATCCCCTTGTTTGTTGGAATGTAGGTAGGCAACCAAGGTTACAAATCGACAATTTCACCCTTTTGGCCACAATTCAGTATTCTTGCACATGTACGTGTGTAAATATTCAGGTAAATAGCTCGAGTGAACGGATTAAAGCTGCGTGATAGGTTGAAAGGGCGTACGGATGAAATGTGTAGCAGCAAATTAATGTTCTCAACAGCCGCAGTTTGCTAAACCGCAAAACGGAAAAAGAAAAAGGTCGGGCCCGCTATTAGCACGACAAAGACCGTTTTCCACACGTCTTCGTACTAAATTATTTAATTTATTCGATTCCCAAGCGAAGATTCTTTACGATATGCGATGTTCGATGTTATAACGACTCCAGTTTGCCTCTCTTATCGGGAGAGAAAGTAACGTAATACTGTTCGTGGCCACGTTAAGTTACAAAACGATTTGTAAGTCGATTTATTCGTACAAAGTAGTTAGTGATTTGTTTTATAATTATATAGATACCTACCCATATGTTGCTATATATGATTATATATTTTATCTACTTCTAAATTGACAAGCTGTGACTTTATGTCGTTTTAGTCACGGGCTGAAGTTAGCTTTAAAATAAAAGTGAGGTTAAATCCGTCAAATGTCAAATTTTTATGGATTAAAATTGGCTTAAAATTCCTATCTCTGTTCGTCGTAGATAAAGTATAGAATGCAACTCGTTTTATAAACTCCTCTAGACACTCGTTTTTATTAAACACCCCAGCTTCGCTCGTGACTCGTAATTAAAACAGCATTTATAAAACATGATACATATTATACTATTTTGACTATCACAACAAGGATTGTCATTTTGAATGATAAACGACGTCTTTTCTTTCCAAAAAACGGAGAAAAAAGTCAATAGGAGTTAAGTCGCAAGTTATCGGTGGCCTATTGTCTTTCGTATCAGAATTTACACTTTACAACTAATGTTTACTCCTTTTACAATTAATTTGAAAATAACAATATTTTTGATCATTTTTAGGAGGTAATGGAAATGGAAATGGAGGATACCCCGGAGGTGGGGGTGGGGGCAATGGAGGGGGTGGCGGTGGTGGGGAGGAAATTCCAATCATCTCCCAGGAGTATACCAATAACGGCGATGGCAGTTACAAATGGAGGTACAAGTTGTAGAAGTCTAAAATTGCAGTTATTTATTTTTATTTTTAGCTACGAAACTGGTAATGGTATCAAGGCTCAAGAAGAAGGTGAACTAAAAAACGCAGGCTCAGATGACGAGGCTCAATCAGCAGTGGGATCTTTTGAATACACTGCTCCTGATGGTACAGTTATCAAAGTGGAATATACTGCTGATGAAAATGGATTCGTACCCAAAGGTAATGTGTTGTCTCATTCATAATTTAACAGTGCTGCAGATTTTGCTACTTTGGCGTCAAGGAGAAAATACCATAATATGGTATTTCCATTGTATTTTTTTTCTTTCCAATTATTAATTCAGTCCTATTACATTAATGTAATATTGTTAGAACAGTGCAAGAAAAAGAGATATATTTTAATATTTCTTTCTTTAGGAGATCATTTGCCTACCCCACCCCCAATTCCGGACGAGATCCTGAAGAGTCTCGAGCAAAATGCCGCCGAAGAGGCGGCAGGAGGCGGCGGCGAGGACGGTGGCGGTAACGGATATCCTTCCGGCAAACCCAACGGAAATGGCAACGGAAACGGTGGAGGCGGCAACGGTGGCGGAAATGGCGGTGGAAATGGCAACGGCGGAAACGGCCAGAACGGATATAGATATTAGAAAACGTAAGGTGGTTTAAAGATAGTTTAAATGATAATATATTATATAATAAGATACTTGATCATGGACCGAAACAGTATTTAGGGATATAATGAGCATACATCATTATACAGACTGTATAGAATCAAGTAAGGCTGGAGACAAGGATGACAAATTATATTCTGATCAGAGAAAAAGAAACAAACTTTTATTGGGCGTGGTTTAAACCAAGCCATTCGTAATTACGAACCATAGTTGCCAGGTTGTTTTAAATCAGAAGAGAACGATTATAATTATTTAATAAATAGTTCAATTTTAATTGTTTGAAACTTAAAAAAACAAAAAAATTAATAATATGTCAAAAATAATTTGATTTAGTTAATTTTCTTACTTTTAATATTAAAAAATAAGAAAAACAACCCTTTTATGAAACAATAATAGCATATGGCAACAGCGCGGCAAGCAGTTTGATCTACTGTGTTTGTTCAGTAGTTCCGACGCTGTCGTAGGGAAATTTGTATAGTTTTTAAGAAATACATATTCGCCATTAACTGGAATTTAATGGATTTTAAACAATACTTAGTTTTTATTTGCAGAAATGCATTAAAACAAAACAAACGAATTCGATAAAAATAAAACCTATAAATTCTCAATCCCTACCACAGTGGGCGGGGTTTGGCACTTGTTTTATTTAAGTGTATCTATTCGTTTTAATACACACTGTATAATAATTTTTGATCTAAAACTTTTTTCAGATTGACACAGCTGGAATCCAAAAATTGACCGACCCTTGCCCATCGTCCAACCTGTCAGACCTAGATTACGTATTACCACTCTATTTATTTATTTAAGTTACCTCTCTCTGTCGTCGCGCGAAAAAATTGCATTTTTCACCATTTTTCGTGCGCGCCATCTCTTAGTCATGTATGTATTTAATAATTTAGTACGATGTTTTTGTTATAATAGTTGACGACTGCGCTACGAACTGGCTAACCGACCCATTGTGATTGTTTTTTATTATTTATTTCTTTTGTTGTCCTTTTGTTTTAAGGGCAACGTTGCCATTTTTACTTGCGTTTTATTCAAATGAAAATGTTTATTGCATATGTTAAATACATACTTTATGTATAAAAAATGTCTTTTATTTATAGTAAATTCCCCAACAATACGATTCAAGATACTTAAGTATTACTTAGAATCTTTTAGTTAGATGTATTCTGAGTTGCCTACTTAAAGGAGTCCAGACCCCAATAATACGATTCAAGATACTCAAGTTTCATTTAGTAGAAGCTCTCAGTTCGATGTATTCTTAGTTGCATACTTCCAAACTCTAGAGAGATTAGAAGCAATTTTGTTGTTTTACTAGCAGTACTTTTTGTTAGTTTTTATAAATCTGATCCACCAAAAACATACATACACATTCCATTGAGGATTTAAATTGTTCAATAATGCCAATATATTTCGCAAGAAAAATTTGAAAATAATAGACTCATGGGAGTTAGTTTTTACATTTTATTAAAAAAGCTAAAAATTAATTATTACACAATACCTACAACACGATTTTCCTCTCCTGAAAAATTTTAACAGATTTTAAAAATAAAGGTTAAAAAAACGTACCCGTTTCATGAAATCACTTCATTTAATTTTTGTATACAGCCATTCTTATTATTTTAACCTAAACAGATTTTTAGTTCTCTATTTTGTTATAAATAATTTCTTTAAATATTTTAAAAATTATACTTAAAGAAAATAACAACTTTTGTTTTTTTTAAGTAAAAAAATATTTGTGGTTTTAATTTTTGATTTTTTTTTAATAAAGCAACAGATTTTTATTTATTTTATATTAAATATATGTTGGAAACAAATCTTGATCTTTTAGTTTGACGATTATACATTTCTTTCGAATCTATAGTGGTATCACAACCTAAAAACACCACTTGATATACAGGGTGTTTTACATTCGTGGTCCATTGGAAGTTTCTGGAAAACGGAAAAAATATAGATTTGAAATTTAAAAGCGTTTATAATTAATTAAGTCTATTTTTTTTTAAATATTTTGAACAAAATGCAACTTCCGGTTTGACCGGAAGTGACATCAACTTTGTTATTTCAAATAGAACACCCCATATATTTTTACATTTTTAAATTCTACATAAAATTCTGAGTAAAATTATTATACCATGTCCTATACCTAAAGTGAATAGTTTTCTAGATGCTATTAGGTTTACGGATATAGGGGTAATAACTAGATCAACACCTTGTTTTGTAACAGTATTGGTTTATTTATGGAACATAGAAAATAACACAGTACACGGTGGTCAAAACTAAAGTATAGGACGAACAAAAATGCCAACCAAAACTGATAGCATAAACTGATTATAGACTCTTTTGGAAACACAAAAATGTATTTATCAAAATCCCAGCTGATCCTTTATTAAAGTTTTGCATATTTCTTAGTATTTTAAAATTGTTTATGCCATTTCGATAAAATACTCTAGTACCATTATCAAATAATAATAATAATAATAATAATAATAATGTTCTTAAAATGGCAGATACATGACTGAAATATGGATAAATTACATTACAAAATAATGTAAAATACAGTTTGCAATATCTTATTCACTGTTTTAAGGTATCTAATACAAAAATAATAAATAAAGATTCTTTGAAGCAAAATCGATTACTGCTTGCCTTAAATTTTCAGTTAAACTTTTTCTTGGGTTTTACATGGAATTTTTTTTAACATGGAAACAGTATTTTTAAATTCTTCAGTCTCTGTACAAACATGCTTCTTACATCTAGCGATATCCCCTAGAAAGGAAGAGCATATCAAAACTTTAGTTCGTTCGTCCGTCCTCTTCCCTTAATAGTTTTTTATGCCCTTTATATCTTGCCATTTTGCAGATAAAGCACATACATTCTTGGCTGCCGCGAAATTCTCTGGCAATTTCTAAATTTTGAAAATTTGGCAATTGTGGCTATGCTATGCAAAAATACCGTTTTTACCATATTGAAGTAGGTAATTTTGAATCACTTAAGTTAAAGTGTTCGTTTGAAAAAGTCTGCATGCAGTAATTTTTATATTTTCTCAGAAACCCAAAACTCTGAATTTTTCGATTACCAAAACAATTTTGTCTCCAAAGCCAGCACATACTTTTCTTTCGATTTTCCTCATGGCTTAACTTGAATTTCGGTTTAATTTTCATTTTAAAATACTATTTTAACTATATAAAGTATTATATTTTTTCTTAACCACTTTAATTATTGTTTTACAAAATTTGCAAGTTGTAATTATTTCATAGACAAACTTCCAGTATTTTTTGTTATAAAAAATATTTAAGATATAAATCTTCGTTTTTTTTGTTATGTTTTGTTTTGAGTGGTAAAAAATAATAGGTGACTCAATAAATTAATACTGGGGAGTAAAGTAATTTAAATGATACAAAGTTGATTATTTTTTTCTTAAATTTATTAAACCTGTACAATAATAGTAGTACAATAATTGCAAAATAATATATAGAAATAGAAAAACAAAAAAGTTTGCAAAACTTTAAAATAGATTGGATGGATTTTGATAAATACATGTTAGTGTTACCAAAAGGGTCCATAATCAAAATAAGCTATCAGTTTTGGTTGGCATTTTTGTTCGTCCTATACTTAAGTTTTGACCACCGTGTACTGTGTTATTTTCTATGTTCCATAAATAAACCAATACTGTTACAAAACAAGGTGTTGATCTAGTTATTAAATAAATACCAACATGACAAAGGAAATGTGGAAATTGCTTCAAACAATAGTAAAAACAAAACACTTAATAACTAAGGAAACATTTTTCACTCATCTTGTGAAATTCGCCACATATCTTATACATATGTATACGCATGACTCTCAATTTTCTGGGTTTCAAAACATCTAATAAACATTTAAATTACCAATATGTATGCATGGCAAAAGTAAATCTTTAGTTAAATTTTGTTGGATATAATCTTCTATTGTTGGATTGTTCAATTAAAAAACTCGGTTTTTAAATGGCTTTGTTGATAATATAAGATTTAATCTCATTGTTATGGTATAATCGACAATTTATATTTGTAAGGTTAATACGTGGTATGCCCAACTTATTTTCCATTGCATACAATTTTTTTTTGGGCAAACTAAAACAAAAAGTTTATAGGGACAACTTTAACAATAACTTGGAAAGATTAAAAAACAAAATTACTGAGAGAACTAAGGAATAAAAAAGAAGGGTGAAATTATGTGGTGATATAAACTATTTGAATAGGTTTTAATGTTACAGCATTTCGTAACTCTTAAATTATATTTAAATCAAGTACACATTTCAGTTTTGTAATTGACTAATTTCAAGAAAAAACACAACTCACCATCTGACCTACCCACCAGATTGACTCGACCTATTGCTATTTAAAATGAAATATTGTTTCTTAATATGTTAACCAAATGAATTGTCGCTTGTGTGTTTTATTCAAAAATTATCTTGTTGCACAATCTGACAGATTGTAGAGATATTGTTGGGGCAGGCGGATAATGCGACTTATTTTATTGAACATCGCTGATTGATGGGTTAAAAATGCGTGTGTTCATTACGCAATATTAGTAATGATGGCTTAAATGATTCATTATAATTATAATAGTTTGCCAAATTTTGCTTTTATGACTTTTAATAATCCATTTAAATTCCTTAAATGCTTTTTTTTTTAAATCTGATAAAAAACAATGGATTTAATTGAGGAAATAAGGTGTTTAAAACAAAACATTAATATTTTTAGATATTTCCTTTGATTTTCTGATCTATTTGTTAAACTTTTTTGTGTAGTAATATCACTAGTTTACAGCTATTTTGCCCACCATGTCTCACTATGATTTTCTTTTGTAGTTTTTTTTTACAAAAATCGAGGTCGAAAATTTACATATATTTCTGGGAAAGATAGAAATTGAAAAGATAAGTCCAGTTTGATTTATTTTACGTATAGATTTAACATTGAAGATATTGAAAGTTT